TTTTAACTCATGGAGTGCTGGTGACCTATTTCTTCAATCTACACTAGGGTGGGCGCCCTTCTCTTTTGTTTGCATTTAATAGCTGTTCAGAAACATGATGAATGTAAGTGTTTGGCAAACATGTAAAGCAGTGCTTTGCTGGGCAAGGCATATTTGTCTAATCTGGATTCATTATTGAAAAAAAGTTTGAGAGTTTAATACTACTGCAGGTAATTGCCATTGTATAAATAGTTACCATTTTGTAGGGGCATGTATTGACTTATGGTTAAATGGAGTGACTGCTCTCTACACACCAGCCCCTGATGAACGGTGAAACATGTTAGGTGTAGCCTCTGTAAGAGATGTTATTTGAATGTTGGACAGTGTGTGACTACTAAGCATTACAACATTGAGATCCACAGTTTTTAGTACCCTTTTAAACTTTTTTAATGTTTAATAAACGTTTTAAATGATTCTTGTACTGCTTGTCATTGTCATTACATGCACTATTATGAATAACTGCTGAAGAAGCAGTTGATCCCTTCTAATTTTCTAGTAAGTCTGTATTTCATTTGAGGTGGAGGATACGGCTTATCTTGCGCACCAGGGCAGAGTTTGCACTGACAACGAATTGCTGCCAGTTTGTGTTTATGATTTTATTGTGGATGTGTATATTCATTTTGTATTGCAAAAGCAGCTATTGTATTTTAGCACCAATTAAGGGTGGACTGCAGAGTTTTTCCTGTTTGTTTTAAAATAGGCCTTGATATGTCATGATAGGTGAGCCATGCATTCTGTGAATACATTTGTAACTATAAAGGTATTTAAAAAATACACAGATTAAACCACTTAGGTATTTTATAGAAGGTCTGGAAAATAATATTTGTGATTCAGAACTTAATGAAGCCTTCAGCAGTCATTTATGAGAAATGGTCGCTAGCCTTTTTTTCTGTAGAAATGTATGTTCATGATCAAAGGTAGGCATACCTACTCTATCAATATAATACTCTTAACAAGTTTTACCACATCCTTTATAAAATATGTGTCTATCTTAGATAATCCTTCCACCACTTCCCATCAGAATTGTTGATTTTCAGGGAAATTTATCCTTACAAGAGATCAGAAGGGCCCAGTAACTACATGGATCCACCAAAATGCTATCACATAAGCTTGTTTGCAGACATATTTGTTATATGATGCATAAAGTAGCATAGTAATGCATCCTTCCTCAATATTGTTAAATAGGAATCGAACTGGCACAGTCACAAAAAAAGTGTGTACTACACCAAAGAATACAATGTTCCAGGATAAGAAAAATGGCAGATAAATGCTACCTGCTGGGCTCTAAAATCCTTTTTTGGGTCTCCTTTTAGGACCAGAGAGTTGCAGCAGCAAAAAAGTTATCCATTTCAGGATTTTTTATTTCCTCTGATAACCTCAATGCCTTGCTGCTTATGCTGCTTTTGAGATGGAACTCCAGCCAAAACCTTCATTCTCTTTTTTTCTCTTTTGATAGAGTAGTGAGGGCTAGAACCTCTAAAGTCTTGTTATTGGTGTGTCTTTGCAGGAAAAATTACTATTTCTGTCCCAGTAACTACTTTGTTACCAGAGTGAAGTGAAATCTCTCAGTGAGGCAAAAGACAGCAACAAATGCCTGATATAGGATCTAACCCATTCTCAACTGTGTCCAAAACTAGAAAAAAAGGATTTCTTGGAGTTACACTTTTATGCTGCTTGTGTAAACAAGTGCTAGCTTCTCTTTTGCCTGAACATTTTTGAGCAATATACACATACAATGTGTCTGAAGCCAGATACACTGTGCTTTGGTTATAGGATTTCAAAACCTTAAATAATTAGAAACAATAATTAGAAATAAAGAGACTCTAGAGCTTGCCTCATTGCCTAGTTGAAAATTGTGTCTGTATGTTAGAAAATGATCTGTTTAGTTACAGTATTTTTTTTTACCCAAATAACACATATACAATGTGAAGTGTAAATTATGTGACAAAGATAGGCTGTTTGTGTTTGTAGCACAATTCCCCACCAACCCATCTTCAAGCAAGAACATTTTAGTAAAGAGCAGCCAATAAAGGCAGCCCCGCTTCAGTCAGTGAGACCAAATATATCTGTAGAAAACATAAACCAACAAGGCGCTTTCCCTAGTGCTGATAAAACTTTATTATATCAAATGCATAAAAACAATCAGAAATGCTCACAAAAGCAAGCATTTAGTGTGGCTTTCTTGTAGTCAAAACTGCTACAAACAGCTGCAGCTCCAAGGAACGATAAGCCTTCAGGAGTAACACCGACACTCTGCTCACGTCACATAAAACTGCTGCTGAATGCTGACACATTTCCGGGGACATGCCCCCTTTTTCTGAGCGATTCAACCTTAGCTACCAGTGAACTAATGAATATTCTCATTGCCAATCACAAGAAGACATTGTGGTTGCCTAGAAACGAGTGGCCAATCAAGAGCAAGTAGGCATCTCTCTCCACAGCCATAACCTGCCCACACCCCTGAATCTGACAAACCATTTGGGGAAAACCTTTCCCCCACTGCTCACTCTGCCCACTTTGACCGAAGACAGGAGGCTCACCTCTAGCAGTTGGCAGTCCAGAGCGATTCTCGGCCGTCCAGTGTGCACACACAGACCTCAAAAGGAAACTGCTGTGAGCACCAATCCAGTGCATGACAGCTCACAGAACCAGCAATCACTAGCGGATTCCTATAGTTAGACACATACACACAGGATACAGAGGACACCACTGTTATCACCGATCTGACAGCCAGATCTGGACATCACGGCTGACACCTACAAACGCCACTTATATTGTTGTATTGGGCAGATTGTAAACAAATAAAAGTACACATTAATATTGGACAAATACAGTGTAACACACTCCCCAGCTACTAACGTAAGAGGTGTCGCACTTTGTGCTATCAGCTCTTGTTGGCCCCAGACTTTGAGTCATCCCTGCCATACCTGGAGGGGTGGGAGAGGGAGCTGGGTATCTCTCTTTCTCCGTATGAAAGAACTAGAATAATAATGCTTTCCTTGAAGTCATCCATCAGCAGTAGATACCAGGAGTCGGGGTACAAGATTCTCACCCGATGGTATCGGACCCCAAAAAAATTACCAACGATTTTCCCTGGAGCGTGTGGCTCTTGCTGGAGATGTGACTTCTCCCCGGCAGACATGCTGCATGTGTTCTGGTCATGCCCATTATTACTACCTTTCTGGACTCAAGTACATACAATCGCTCAAAAAGTTACGGACACACCGATCCCCATGACACCTTCCTTCTACCTCTTGCATCATAACACACACTCTCCATCAGCAGTAGATACCAGGAGTCGGGGTACAAGATTCTCACCCGATGGTATCGGACCCCAAAAAAATTACCAACGATTTTCCCTGGAGCGTGTGGCTCTTGCTGGAGATGTGACTTCTCCCCGGCAGACATGCTGCATGTGTTCTGGTCATGCCCATTATTACTACCTTTCTGGACTCAAGTACATACAATCGCTCAAAAAGTTACGGACACACCGATCCCCATGACACCTTCCTTCTACCTCTTGCATCATAACACACACTCCCTGAAGGGGTACAAGAAGTCGGTCTTAATTCATCTCATTAATGCTGTACGGGCCTGTATTCCGGCAATGTGGAAACAGGTTACCCCACCTACAACGGGACTGTGGTTCAGCAAGATACGGGACATTCGACACATGGAGGATCTCACTAGCTCTGTCAAAGGGACCGGGGCCCAGTTCGGAGCTACCTGGTTCTGGTGGGATGAGTTTACCTCCACACAGGAGTATTTGGATCTGACGGTTTAGCACTACCTGGTGGACGGGTTACCTGACCCCTTCCCTCTGCCCCTCCCTTTTCCCTGCTGCTCTGCTACCCCCCCATTTCTGTTTCAAGACCCCCCTCCGTCTTTTCTTTTCTCTCTACCTATCTTCTTTACTTCCTATGCCTCTGCGATTCTGTACGACCCTACGTATAGTATGTAAATACTTACCTCCCTAATTGCCGCAACTCCGGTGAGACTGCAAGAGTCCAGTTGCCCAACACACACCACAGTAAGGGAGCCTGGGCACGGAATATAAATTAGATCCACTCAGGATGGACCTGAACAGCTCCTCTCATTCTTACGGTGAGCCACTAGATAACTAGGCAATTGAGTTGCACTCGAGAAAGGCCCCCTAGGCAGTGGAGTCCGGATGGTCCACAGGCTGAGGTGTGGCCGACGGGGCTAATCATCCTAATTGGCCCTAGGGTTGTGACGAGTACATTTGCAGTTATAATTATAATATTGTTTGAAGACGTCTATCAGTTGCACGCGATCAGTGGCTGCGTCCACTGCTTTGGTATTGGAAATTGTGTCCCTTACTTACTTTCTGTTGCATGTATTCTTGAAAACCTGTTCAATAAAAGAATTTATAAAAAAAAAAGAGGTGTCGCACTTCCCTGTGTGATGATCCGGTGCCGGGTTTTACCTCCTGTCCGAGCTGCTCGGCTTCCTGCCAATCCACTCTGAACCTCTCCATTAAAAGTCCAGCTCACTTGTTCTGAGACGTTCGAGCAACGTGTCTTTACACTCAGTCGAACTCCCTGTTTATTGCATGCCTTTGAAATCCCTATCACCTACCTTGTTCGCTGTGTGTCTCTGGAATCCCTCTTGCTCCCAGTGAGATACTGCACATCCAGCAAGTGGATTGTTATCATCATCCTCTTCAGTGAACCCTTGCACCTGTGCTTACATGTGTGTCTGTCCTCGTGTGGCTGCCTGTTCCATGCGGCCTCACTCTTCAGTGTATCCCGGATTACCGTGTTGTTGCTGCCTCCTCTCACACTATTATTTAGACTTCTACCCTTGTGTCCCTCAGTATCAAGAACCACTGTCTGTGTATTGGCTTCACTTCTGCCTGCTGTTGTAGCCAGCACCTCTGTGCTGCAACTAGCCTCTGTGTGGTTGTGCTAGAGGACCGCAACCTGGAAGGTGTCCAGCACGCAATCATCCTCACCATTAGAGGCTTTGTCGAACACCTGTTATCTGCATCCCAGACACCATTTTTTGCACGCTATATTTTGTAATTTTGTGTGCCCTGGTCGCCAGACCGTGACAGGAGGACAATTATCATTTTGTTTTAAAACATTTATTTGCTATTTTATAGCTTATAGCATATTTAAGTGATGTAGGATCAATAATTGTTAACTTATCAATTTTTAATGCATAGTAGGCCATGGGAATATTTATTAGTACACAGGTAGCTTAGGCTGAATTGCTCTGAAGAAGGGGGTGTGTCCCCAGAAATGCATCAGTATTCAGGAGCAGGATTATGTGACACAAGCAGAGTGAAGGTGTTACTCCTGCGGGCTTATCATCCCTCATCTTGAAGCAGCAGCTGTTTGTAGTAGTTTTGACTACAAGAAGGTCACGCTAAATGCTTGCTTTTGTGAGTGGTTCTGATTGCTTTGAAATTACAACAAATACACCTTTAGAAATTTTATACTTTGCCTAGCTTACTTTTCTTTGTTTCCCCATTCTTCTCACGGTGGTCATTTTTTACTAAGGGTAGATTAATATAGCTCCCTTTACTTCCTGGAACTCCGGCACATGTAACTAGGACATGTGACCATGCACATCTTCTCAGTGGAGGAAAATACATTTCCCTGAGATCTTGTGAGATTACAGATGAGATTTCCCAGGATGCATTGCTTGGGCACAAATTACATCACTAATGCCCATGAGGACCAGGAAGTGCAAAAATAGTAATTGTAAGTAAAAGCAAAATATGTTTAATGAATGTATGTTTAATGAATGTAAGGTGATTTCATAGCTGCATGCTGATGTGATTTTTTAGTGAAAGGGGGTAAAAGTCCACTTTAGTAAAGCACGTATTAATACTACAATTAAATGTCAATATATGTATGGGCTTGCTTATACTGCCCAGTAGGGTAAGCTATGAAGATTAATTCATAAGACCCAGTCGGGATAAATATGGGCATTCCCACAAATCCCCCCTCCCCCCCATGTGGATCATAGTTCTCTTGTATGTAGCAGTAACATATACTTGCAAGGTACAGATAAGTATTAAAACAAATGTCAGTTCATGCTGTATTACAGATGAACACATAAAGAGGACAGGAATTCAAGTTTTTGTTACTTCTATGTCACATAACATACCTCCATCTAAACTTATTTTTTACATGCTATCCGATCATGCTTTTAGTTAGTTTATGTGCTTCTGTTTGTGTTAATTGGAATCCATTGCTTTTTAACACACCATACCTGCTGTCTAGTCTGAAAAATTCAGTGATATTTTTTATTGCAATGCCAGGATGCTGTGTGTTTGTCTGAGCCATAGCAGCTCTGTTCATATATCACATGACTGTATCTATTCTAAAGAAACAGGCTGATGAAACAAATCACACATTTTTCTTCCAGGACATTTGGATTGCTGCCCCCTCCTTTTCTCAGGTTGTATTTTTGACTTTCCGTTTCATAGATTCAGTGGTTTGACTTCCTCACTCTTCCATACTGATTGTTGTAGTGTGTATATTGTGTCATTGGTCTGGAAACTAGCACTTTCTGATTCTGCTCTTATGATGACTTACACGTTTCTTTTTTGAACTATGTATACACTCTTCATTGTGTTTACTGAGTAGAAATGCACATTACCCATAAATCAACATCACCCTCAGCCAATCTTCCAGGCATTAATCTGCACAATTGGTTGTCTGTCAATACCAAAATTTTAACTTGCTCCTGCCTTGCCACACACTGTACACATTAATCAGACAATTCTGTCTCTTTTGTCTGTATTTATACATGTTTTGGGTGAGATCTTCCTAGCCTTAGATCTTACTACAGGTATTATTAAAAGTTTGTTGCATTTACCTTCAGATTATGAGCACTTGTAGGTTTATTTATATGTGTATTAAATGTCTTAGCAATATGCTTGCTGTTAGTATTCTGTATTTTGGTTATATGCTGAAATGTATAAGGCTATATATAACCAAGACCTGCCAATCACTTGTTTTTCACTTGCTTTGTGTGTTGGTGGTCTGTGTCATATGAACAACGAGTTTCCGGCATCTGCTGTCATAGCCTGCTTTGCTGTTGTGAGTCTATGGAAATCGTTGTTTAAACCAAAATGTTCATCATAAATCCTACAGTAATACTGTGTGCATAAACATTCATCTCAACTGAGCATTTTCATCAGCATCTTTAATTGAACACCTTTTTATGGGTTTCTGTTATAATATTTATCTGTGTAGTTATGGTTTTATAATTGTGCATGCATGTCCAGCTCTTAATATACATCACTGTACCTGTATGTCTTAGAAATTGTGGTTTTAAAAATGTTTGTATTACTTATGTTTATCTGTATGTGTTTTAAACACAAAACATTTAGGAAAACATCATATTGCATAGGAAGTGTGTACATTTGTTAATTATACATTTGCATAGCTTGTTTTAAAACTTGCAATGGCAAATGTTTGTCATCTTTGTTGCTTTAAAGAATCTAGAGTATTTCTAAAAAAAAAAAAGGATTTTTGAATCCTCATACAATAAGTTGTGAGAATACAGGTGAAACTCTGAAAATTAGAATAGCGTGCAAAAGTTAATTTATTTCACTAATGCAACTTAGCCGTCTACCAGGAGATTTTGGAGCACTTCATGCTTTCTTCCACAGATGAGCTCTATGGGGATGCTGGCTTCATTTTCCAGCAAGACTTGGCACCTGCCCACACTGCCAAAAAATGTCTGAAATTAACTTAATGTCTAAATTAACTTTTGCACGATAGTCTAATTTTTCGAGTTTCACCTGTATGTACTTTAATTGTCTAATCATATGAAAAGCAAATCCAAGTTTACTTATTTTATCTGCAAATGATTGGACAGTTTATTGTGGGGAGATTCTCCACCACTTTAGAAAATCAGCCAAATGCTGTGGATAATAAAATGAACTGTGAGATGCTAAAACAAAACTATAGATATATTACAGCTATAATAGGGCAGGCAGGTTGCATCCTATGGTGCAGTTTATCATCATTATTATTTTTTATGTTATTATTATTATTAGGAGAAAGAGGATAAAATGCATTAAGGACATTCAGAAACATCCTTTTAGTCTAAAATATAAATTGATTCATATGGTCTACCAAATATATAAAAAAATCCAAACCTAAATAGCCATTCAGCGTAAAAAATGTTGCACATACATATCTTCAAAAACTAAATTGCTGTATCGTAGAATGATTCATAGCATTATGTGTAGACCTTATTAACGCCAATTCCTCCTACAAGATATCTGACATGATTTGACATTTGATTAAGAAGTCTTGTTTGTTTAGATAGCATTTCAAAATTATTGACTTTTTTGTCTTATTTGGCACTTTTTGCACTTCTAGACATCATGCAAAAGAGTAATACAAGATTAGTGTCGTCTATGTTATTTGAGTTTGCCTTTGTCTATATAATATTTCTTGTAACTCAGTTTCCTGTTTTTTTCCAGTAAAATGTATAGTCTAAATTTCAAAAATAGATCTGTTGGAATCTCTATATAATTACATATAGTTTAAGTAATAGGTAAATTAGCAATTGTGCACCAAAAAATCGCCCTTAAAATTCATATTGTTAAACAACATTACCAGATTTTGCTATAGTCAATGTATTTTATTAAAAGGTGTCCCTAAACACAGTAATAAACAGATGGGGATCCAAAAAACTAGCGGCGTACGCTTTACAATTGTACAATGCGCTATTAAAGCCAGCAGAGCACAATAAAAATTAATGGCCTGTCAAAGTCACATTCCTGCT